GGAGATTAAGATAATCAAAAAAGAGGCTCACATGTGAGGGATGCTTGAAAATCAAAAAAGTGTCATCGACATACCGGTTATAGAATACAGGCTTAAAATCAAGAGGACAATTGGCCAGCCATGTAGCCTCGTGAAAACACATAAAAATGTTTGCAAAAGTAGGGCCGAGAGGAAGACCCATGCCCAAACCATCAATTTGTCTAAAAAATTTGCCAGCAAATACAAAAACTGAGTTTAAAACAGATAATTCAAGAAGAGATTTAAAACAGTTGCGGTTCAAACCCATGACACAGTCATTGACACTTTTAAACAAAGAACTTAGGCAGATATCGATAGTTTCATGGAGGGGTATATTGGTAAACAAATTTTCTACATCAAAAGAAGCCATAGTCAAGTCCTGAACATTAGAGAAATTTTTCAAGCGATCCACGAACATGTAAGTGTTGTCTACCGTATACTGATTGGTGGTGAGACAGTTCAAAACGGGAACTAAAAATTTAGCAAGTTTGAAGCTCGGAGTATTGTAAGCAGCAAAGATTGGGCGGAATTGAAATTTTAATGCGAAATCTGGTTTATGAATTTTGGGCTGTCTCTTATACACATCTAGATGTGTATAAGAGACAGAACCTGGACACTGGCCTCCCCGCCTAGACATTGGCCTCACAACCATGGCCCTGGCGTCTTTGGCCCATCAACCTTTATGTTTTCCCAACATAGGATGTTGGGAAAACACAAATTTTCTTTGAAATTTCAATCTCAAATAAGGCATTTTTGCTAAAATACTAGAGTTTCTTGGAAGTTTCTTGGCCAAACTTCTTAAGCCTATTGTTGCTAGAAAAAGTAATGTACAAAATGATAATTAACTATGCCAGCTACATAATATCATCCATATTTTGCGCTCAGAAGACTAAATGGATCATACCGTTGCATTTAATGTTAGGATCTCGTAAGACCAAGTGGACTGAAATGTTGCCTTACATTTTTCAATATACAATTTTCAATGTTCCATACTCATCTATACACTACTTAGTAACCGGAATCACTAGAAATTATAACAAAAGAAATTTATGCGCTTAAAAAAATGTGGTCATTAAAGAGTCAACAGTTTTCTCGAGACAAAAACTCCAATGTGACTGATAAATATCAATAGAGTTGACATCCTGCAACACAAAACAGTAACAAGTGGTTGTGTAATCAAATAATGTGTTTCCAGATTGATAATATTGAATATCAGGTTTGTACTTTTATTAAAAACCTTGTAACACAAGAATTACCTGTTGGTCCTGTCTTACCCCATGCCCGGTCCCATCTTACCCCAGTGGGGTAAGATGGGACCAGCTCACTTTTTTTAATCTGTGCAGAAAACTGTGTTGTATGCAGAAAGTCTGAGTTGTAGCTTAGAAGCCCATTGCATAACTACACCTTGTGATAGGTTTAGGGTTTTTTATTTATTCATGGTATAGATGCTACAGGCTTGTTAGTGATTTCGGTCCTGTCTTACCCCATCTGACTATATGCCTAAATCTGGTATTTTCTGACTTACTGCAAATTTACTGCATTTAGTTCCACCTCTGAAGTTTGAACTTCCTCCAGCGTAGGCGTGGATTATATTATTATTTATATGAATTGCCTACAGAGAGGCGCGATTAGAGCTTTCCCGCCATTTTTGGAACCGCAAGTTTTCATGTCAACCGGAACTCGAACACCACAGCAGAGAGTATTTTATGCAGCTAATGAATTTTGCAAACTTTGCTGGAAGAGAGATTATTGAATTTTAGAAAAAAGGCGGGATAATTCAATGAAGGCTGGTGCCTGGTGGCAGAGCTGCAATCTTGATACTCTATTGTGATTCGTGCTATGATAACCTACGTAACAATTTTCATATGATAGTTATAATTTTTGCACATTCAAAGTAGTGAAAGTACACATGACATAACATAACGCACCCAGATTTGGAAACCATTATTGCTCAAATGAAGCAAAAATAAACGACAGACCATTGACTTATCTTGCAAATATATAGGTATATTCATATTATGTATCACATAGCATAATTACGCTCTGTAATTATGTCATATTGACCTAATTTGTATAGTCCATTTACGCGCATTGTTATTAGGTATTGATCGTGTCGATTTTGCCGGCCGGGAGGATGTCGGTAATGTAAATGTAGTCACAACATTGGCATGCAGGAATAGCAGCAGGATCGTACTGTTGACATACAGGTTCATACCCTACTTGCCGCAACCAGTCCAGTCATTCATTAGAAGGCACCGATCGGCGATGGCACATTTAAAGCCATGTTGCCTTCTTTAGTTCCGTAATTCATGTCCGATTGAATTGTGATCTATGAATGAATGTTCATTACTGTGCTGACTCTTGGAACCTGAGAGGCTGAGTCCTGAGTTGACGCGATAGCAATCTAGTTAACTCGTATCCAACCACAACACAGACTACACAGTGCGGATACATGTTTGTGTGTACGGTCACTGTGATTACGTAATTTGCATTGCCGCGCGTCCATATTAAAACTATTTTAGCTTTCTAAAAGTACGGCGCTGTCGGCGCACGGCGCATTTTTTTACCGGCATAGTACGGCGCACCGCGCAGGTCATTAAAATGACAATATAAATTCCCGCGCACCTGGCACATCTTCCTGACCATGGTATATTGGCGAATGGCGATTCTGCATCCACCCTCTGCACGATGGAGCCTGGCCAAGTTATTGCAGTCTTTGTGCTAGTTGTGCCTACATGAGATGCACTGATGCAGTAGAGAAAGCCTTGAATTTACAAAAAGTCTGCCCTTTAACTTATGTTTTCATTTATCAAATTATAAACATTGCTGTAAAATATTGCTTCTGTACAAAAATAAACACTAAACCAAAGATTAAAGAAAATATCTTTCTCCTAGCTGCCTAGCAACTATGTTTAAGTGAATTGAACTAACCTAAGATTTAAGTTCATAATTCATAGAAACTATTCTTTTAACTGTGTCAATGTTGGCAGGGCTATTCAGTATTTGTTTGCAGCTCCATTCACCTTGATTCCCACTGTGCAGAGAGTGAATGAATATTGCAAGATCTTTGGCGACGCTTCAGTAGCAAAATTTACTCCATCAAAAGATCTTGCCGACACATTTAGATTGAAATTCTTGCATTTAATATATTTGTCAGTCTTCGGCCAACTATTTAAAAAAAAGTAATGTTTCCGATATGTTGGATGGATCAGGATGCAGTGAAGCTTGTCTGGAAATCAGTTGCAATGAGTTCCCGCAAAAAAAAAGTAAACATGAAGCTTACGATTACGTAGTTGGGGTCACATTAGAGCAGTCAGACTTCATTATGACATGTTCAGTTGACACTTGCTGTACAATCAGACTGTTTTTAGGGTAAAATTAGTTATTTGGGGTAACATGTGCATGCAACCTTGTCAATAAGTTTGTGGCTTGTAAATAGTTTTTCATTACTCAGCATAAATGGCTTTTCATTAAAAATTACCCGGCAATGCATCTTAAAATTACCCGGCGACGCTTAGGGCTTAAAAACCCATATATTGGCGACGCTGCATCCACCCTCTGCACCCTGGCTTGATTCTACTTCATAAAAAATGCACTTCACACTTCACTTCAGGAAATAGGAATGAGTTTTGTCATGGTTGAACTATATAAGGTCAACCCATGAGAAGTTCCATCATTCAGTTCAGCTTTCTTGGATTGTCACTGAGATCAAGAAACAAACAAACCCATCATTCCCATGATGGATTGGTTGACTGGTTTGAACGCATTTCGGTGATTGGTTAATGCCTGTGACGTCACTGAGATTAGTGACGTCACAGGCAAACAATAAACTACATCCACAAAAATGGGCTTCTGATGGGTCAACCTTATACTACCAATACTAGTTCAACCATGAGTTCTGTAAGATAAATTAGTCTAGAATTCAAAGAATTCACTTTGAGTTTGAATTTCTTTGCATGCAGTGTGAAGAACTCCTTTGAACCTAAAAGGTCATGATGCAGTCATGAAGTAAGGTCATGAAGTAATTCAAAACATGGTGAGTTTGGATTGGATGGTCTGACTGAGACTTCACACTAGAAGTAACTTGAGTAACCAATCAGTTTCTCCATTTTTTACTAGTACTTCCTATAATTTTTACCTTAATGTGAGAACTAATTTTTACTTATAATGTGTTATTTTGCTTTACAGATGTGTAGCTGAGTTAACCAAGTTTTCAGCTGAGGGGCTGCTATAACAGGCTTCCAAAATTTTGATAAAAACAAACAAGAAAATATTACTGCAGTCACTATCAAGCAAAAAGAAAATTAGTTGCAAAGAATGTCTGCCGAGCCTCCAAACAAAGATATTAGAGGCATGTGCCTGAGCATGTGTCCTCCCAGTGAAATGACTTTGTAAGTAAAGAAAATACCGCAACTCACCTTCTACCCATTAGGAGAATTTGTTTGCCATTTTATCCTACTTTAAAGTTATAATTTTACCTTCATCTGTTGCAAGTCTTTAATTCATGTTGATACCATTCCGAAATGTACATAAATTTTACCAATTGAGTTGCTGTTTGAGCTTGGTTGTGAATACACATTTTTTAATTGGCTTATTGAAGCCTAATTGAAAGCCTGAAAGGTTTAATGCCTAGTATATACTGTATAGGCTCATTCATGGATGAGCTAAGCTGTGCAACTCAAAAAATTATGTAAATTTCTCAAATCTAATAGGCTGTGTATCACAGTCTATTTAATGCAAGTCAGTTAATAATGTAATGAATAATTAATTTGTGATTTAAATGTGCATTAATTTTTCAGTCGTCAAAGGGAAGGCCTTGCGCATCAAATGGAGTGCCGTCCTCCGATGCCTCAGTCCAGGGTGGAACAAACTGCTGCTCCAGGTAAGTAATCACTAACTTCAAAGCAAGTAAACTGGAGAACTTGATATATGACAAATGATTATCTTAGTTTGCATTAAAGCTAAATTTATTGCATTGTTGTCATTCCTGATGAGCAAGATATTTTTCTGAATCAAAGAAGCTCAGCCACAAATTAATGACCTATATTATTAGTGAAACTTTCTTACTATTCATCAGCATTTATTACAGATCAAATATGATGTGAAGGTTTTATTGAATTGTCTGTGCTCTGCTTAGGTTGCATATAATACATGAAGTTAAACTGCATCTATTACCCTCACAAAATACCAAGATTTTTTATAGTACAACTTTTTTGCATCTTTATTACCAACAGGCCGAAAAAAGGAATCAAAACATTGCAATAAGAACAAGGCAGTGAAGGGAGACCCTCAATATTTTGTGAAGGAGTTTGCCAGATCAGCTGCCGGTCGCGACATTCGTGCCGCTGATGTTCGTCCTCTGCCAGTACTAACTCGGACGCTACGCTACCTCCTGACTCAGTGAGTCTTGAGTACTAGACGCTAAATATAACTGAAATGATCTTTTATCTTAATGAGAAATGTTGAAGTAAATTCATACTGTTACACCTGTTGCTGTATTATAAGCAGAGATATTTTGGGTGACATGCTCCATATGATCAAGTTCCTTGTAATTTCTTTGTTATTAAATCCATAGTTAATTGGGCATTACATGATTATTTGACCTCAATACTCTTATCTCACTCAGTTATGAGTGAGATAAAAGTATAGAGGTAGTGGTAACAGTAATATAGATATAGTAATATTAATATATAAATACTTAAATAGTATAATTTTTTAGAAAAATTGTTCATTTATGTTGCCACAAAACGCTGCCACACTCAAACAAATTGCTGCTTACCTACGATGCGCATAAGCATTATCCAGGCTTGTCACAAAATCTTGCGGCACAGGTGCGCAAAACGCAGCTCAGCCAGCCGGTGCGCGTAGTTCGGGCGGCTGTGCGCGCGTCAAATTGAGCGCTTACAATGACGGCCATTTGTGTTAATTAAATTTATATATTAAACAATAAAAGTATAATTATCAATATGCAAGATATAGCCAAGGTTGAACGCACGCTTATGGGGTAACAACTTCGGAGAAAATGCATGGCATTGATTGCTGAATAAAAGTAGATATTTATTGAAATTCCTACAATTATCACTACGCAGCTCTCTGAACATGTCCCATAATGCATGTTGATGCATTAACGGATTTCAAAATACATGTTTTATAGTAACATTTATATTTTATGAGCATCTTATTACAATTAGTTGCATCAATTAGATAAAGACATACTATTTCCAACCCTATCCATTCACTTACCTTTAATTCTCCGCTGAAAGAACCAGACGACCGTATATAACGGGATTCGAAACTGGTTAAAGTCAGTCCGCTCGACGCCATAGAACTTGACCACGGTAGCTCGCATGCATTTGAAATCAAAATAATTTTTTTAGTTAACTATCTATCTCACGAGTCACGACTGATGAAAAGGCAATTTTGTGACTACATTTTCAATATATCATTAATTTCTGCTATTCTTTAGAGTAGGCATGATTAAAATTGTGGATACTTTATAATCACCAACATCTACCAACACCACGTGCATGCAGGTTGCGCGCTATCACAATGTTGCATAAATGGTTGCATGAAGAACTGATTGACATTGTACAAGGTGTTGATGTTCAAGCATTCCTCGCACCGCCAATTAATACTTGACTTTAGTTGTATAAATACAATTGTTATGTAACTGATTTTGCTAAAAGCACGTCTATAACATCATAAGCTCCAGGGTAATCTTTTAGCATACCTTCCACATACATACATCATTAGATATAATGAAAAAGTTCGAATTAACTTTTGATGATTTTTTACTTGGCTCACCAATAACACAGACTGTAATCAAGCGGCTGTATGTTTCAGACCCAATGACTTCAAAACCGGCTCTGTATTCGCGGCAAAAAAAAAAACAAAGATGAATACTAAAGCATGTGTAATTGTGTATGTTGTTCGTGCACGTTCATGCGAATCTTACTAACCAGTGGAATGTCTCCAAGAGGCTGATAGGCTTTGTGCATTTAATCACCATTGTATGACATCTTCAACCTATTATACTACCACTATTATAAGCTTGATATTTCGGCCAGAATTTGATATTACATTCGTTATTCGTTGATATAATGTTTTAAATTAAAACTTGTTGGAAAATTCAAGGTTTATGTTCATGTCCTGCAATGACTCATCCGCAAGGTGGCTTCTCCCGAGCGAAAGTTATATTAGTATTGGATGAAAATGGCGTACGAACATTTTTGGACTGGTTTGTTTAAGTTCGTTCAGCCATTTGGACACGCTAGCGATCCACGCTCAACGCGCAGACTTCTTTATTTGCACCTAATATGCCTGTGTAGCCTATGCCATCAGTTAGGGATGCGTTTGTCCGTTCAGACTTTCACTTAAGTAAACATAATGTCTTCAATAAGTATCATAATTAGTTGATTACCTTACAGTTGTATTAATAGATTATGGGTTTTGCTTTAAAACCCAGAAAAACCGTTATTCCATGGTTGTCAAACCATGGGTTTAGCTTTAAAACCACGAAAAACCCTTATTCTATGGTTTTCAAACCATGGGTTTGGCTTTAAAACTCCGAAAAATCCTTATATGTGTTAACTTGAGCATTTCCACACGAGATCTGTGACAGTTATTAGTTTTATAGTTTCCCATAAAACTGAGACGCGCTGTCCCGTGCAGAGCCCAAGCTCGCCGTGACGTCAGCCCGGATTGCTGCCACGAGTTCGTCAGCGACAGACTGCGCGCCATTCGTCAGGACCTCGCTGTACAGGCGCTGCTGACATCCCCAGCTGCTGCTCCTCTGCTGGCTGCAGCTGTGCGCTACATGCTGCTGCAGTTCTACAGGTATGGCTGCTGCTACAGTATGTATTGCTGCTGCAGCTCTATAGGTATGGCAGCTGTTGGATATGTCCTGCTGTAGCTGTGAATTTCAGCAGCTTTGATGCTGTGAATGTACGCATAAGCGTTTTAAAGTTTAACATGTATAAATATTGCTAACTGTACTGTACATACTGTACAGGTGTTCTAACGCTCTGCTTGCACCAAATTATTGCAGTAGATACGACGTCTCAGATGTACAATATAAACGTTCTTTGCAATTGATGAATCTGACTGAGGACACATCTTAGTTGTCATAATTCTGCACGAATCATTTCAAATTGTATGACAAATTTCAGTGTAGCTTCAATAATCTTGACCCGGAAATATTGGGGTTTTGCATAATGCTGAACTCTTTAATTCTTTTGGAAGCAGTACACCATTTAAAGTCAGTATGACAGTGTAATAGTGGCTACGTCTTTTGCCTCAATGATTGACGAAATTTCGATCGACTTTCGTGACTAACATCCTGTCATTTTTCATTGTTTCCTGTGATAGAAAATTTGGAAGGCGTTTAATATACCAACGATTCAGTTTAAATGTGCGGATCTAGGAGAAGCGCAAGCTGCTAAAGTATTTATTTCGTTGAATAGATTTGCAAATGTCTACAAAATTAGGCTGTGGTAATACATAGAAGATCTGTCGTTTCCTACCGCCTCAAGCACTGCAGATCTTTTGGCATTGAAAATATCTGCAATTGCAGTTCAATAGTACCCGAGTGTGTTGACTGTAGCCACACACATATGTTTCTTCTAACGATATGTGAGCTATATTTTTTTTAAATTATAACCTGATTTTAAACTGTTGAATACTCATGAAGATCTTAAACTGTAACTAAGCCTCATGCGCTATCATGTAACACAAGGCTTTCAAAAAACGTGATGGAAACACAAATTCCACGCTTAGCTAAGGGAAGGTTTAAATATAGAGACAAATAATAGCGTACCCGCATTCTGAGCGGTGTCAGCTACTGATCCAAAATATTAAATTCGATTAACTATAGTATTAAAATTTGAAATTCAATGTCAACGAGAATTCAATATCAATAAACCAAATTTACTGATGCCGATAGGTTTTGATCTTGAAATTGAATGGGAGAAAAATAGTACCAAAAAGATGAACGTAAACTTTTAATTTGCAATTCGTGCTGCGGGATGAGTAATTGCTTCACCAACCTCCCCGTGTTGCAGAGTGTCAGTTCACTTGTGTTCCACTAACCTTATGTTGCAGAGAGTCAGCTCATTTGTGTTCCACTAACCTCCCTGTGTTGCAGTGTCAGTTCACTTGTGTTCCGCTAACCTCCCTGTGTTGCAGTGTCAGTTCACTTGTGTTCCACTAACTTCCCTGTGTTGCAGTGTCAGCTCATTTGTGTTCCACTAACTTCCCTGTGTTGCAGAGTGTCAGCTCACTTGTGTTCCACTAACCTCCCAATGTTGCAGAGTGTCAGCTCACTTGTGTTCCACTAACCTCCCTGTGTTGCAGAGTGTCAGCTCACTTGTGTTCTATCAACTGTATGTGTTGCAGGATGTGTGAGAGTCGAGATCACGTTCACAACGCGGTGCTTGAGATGCGGCAGCTGCAAGAGACGCTCGCAAGTGTGTTACGCATCTATAGGGACCATCCAGTCAAAACACCTGACACGCCTACTCACTTTTCTGACTCGGACGACGAAGAATGCGAATACTTCTTTGAATTGGACCCAGTCACTGGAAGAGTACGAGAGAAGGCCAGTGCCGAAGATACAAATGCGAGTGAGGGTTCACCAGGAACTTGTGATGACAACACAGCCAGTTCAGGCGAGGACATTTCACAGAGATTGTCTTGCATGAATATCGTCGATGAAGGTGAGAAAACCATGCCTGTTGCACGCCGGCCATCATCGTCATCACCAGAAAATGGGCCAGAGAGCAGACAAAATAATGCAGCATCGATAGATTTGCACCAGCAACACAGCAAATCATCCTCGATTAATTCTTATGACCATGGAACGGAATATGATTCTAACGACCACAATGCCGTTGTAAATAGTGAGCCTAATAAAATAAGTAATAACTTGATACAATCCCGGACCTCAAACGAAGACACGAATCCACCGGTTCGCGAGGATGAACAGGATTGTTCCAATTGTTTCTCAAGTGAGCACGAGGAAATGGAGTGTATGCACCTACTTCTGAATTATGACGCAACCGAAGCAATAAAACACTCGTTATCTCTACCACCGTCTTTAAAAAATGGTAAAACATTCCAGCGTGTGTTGACGTCAGTGTTATCGTACCACAGCTGCGGCAATACTGCAGCTTTACTTCGTCTTCTGCAGTGCCTGCCGCCGCTTCTTGCTACGTCCCTATACCTCAACTTGCCGAAAATTCAGCGGAAGGTTATTCAGGTAATTACTGCTTATCTTGGCATCCATAATTATCTTTGAAGCTAATATATATAAAGGTAATCAGAGCCTTCGCTAATTTGTGACACGAAGTTATGTCATCCATTACCGAAATTTGTACACTAATTTTGTCCATTATCCAGTCTATAGGGGAAGTTCGTTTTCCCCCTCAGTATTAATTAATAAATGAATATTTTAGCAAGTAAATATAATAGATATTTAGTAGTTAATTATAATTGACTCGTAAAAATGTATTAGCTAGTTAACTTGAATTTTAAGGAGTAAACTATGCCTATAGAAATATGTCTTGGTGTAACGTAACACTGTGCTGATAAAGAAACATTTGTGTGAACAGGTGCTGAACACAAGTCACCACAACACGAAGATCCCGCTGCTTGAGGTGAGCTCCCAGCTTGGGCTGTTCGGTGACACGGACGCCGCGAGACGCGTGTGCCAGCACTACGGCATCGACATCGTCGATCACAACACAATCGCCTTCAACAAGAAGCACTTTAATGACAACGCGCCTCAGGTGAACTTAATACGGATATATTTGTTAATTATATCTAGGTACTCCATGGTGCAATATTGAGGGGAAAACAGCACTTTAATTATAATTCGCGTGTGGGAAATATGAAACTTGTCATCTAGATCATAGCACGAAAATGCATTTAATTTCGAGTTATTTCATTTTGATCGGAAATTATTTACAGATTGTAAAAGCAATTTTAAATACGCGCAGGCGAAATTTGACAGACGCGTGTGCGGACCAGCATGTAAAAATAAGGGAAACGCGTGCCATGACTTGATGCCAAATGTTATTTGTGCAGTTGCCGCTGGAACGAGCCGAGTGGCTGGATAAGAAGCTTGCCAAGACTACAGTTGAACAGCTGCTACTACCACATCCTCTCGTAATAATGCACAGCTGCTACGTATGTCAAGTTTAGAACGTCGTCACAGTGACACGCCTCCATCGGCTTCAAAGCAGATCGCCTGCTCTCAGGGCCAGAGAATTTTTATTAATTATTATTAAAGTCCCGTAAGTTTTTACTCCATATTGCATCTCGACAGAAGAGGTTATGTTGTTCAAGGCATAAGTAAGTTTTGAGCATGCTAAGCTAGCTAGGTGAATAAATATAGTCAAAGTTACTCGAGTGTTGCCGCATTTGAGGGGCTCGGACAACGTGCATTTGGCTGGGTTTTAATTAAGAACAGATGCTTATTACTCCAGCAGAAGCTTTGCTAGGGAGATCACTCTAGGCGACGTCAACAAGCTTCAGTAATTGGGAGCAACCAAATTGGTGGCTACCATGTGTGACGATTAGCTACATATCTTCGGTGACCGTGCTGCCGTATTTCTTGACATGGCGTTAACCTTGCTGTAGGCATCCGGTCAATATGATACACAATTCCGACTAATGTCTAGATGGCATAGAGCGTTTACGTAGATGAAGACAATTTTACGTTCAAGCACAATCAGTAACAATGAGACACCTGAAGATCGATAAGGAGTTCAGTTGGCATTGAATAGATGGTTAATGAAACAAGTGATTATCACTGCTGGTTGATTTACATATCACGTGTTGTCGCCATGACTACCAGCCATTACGAATCAATTGCCAGTCGCAGGAGCCTGTAATCTCCACTACAAGTAAGTTCTCGAACGTGATGGCTGGATATTAGACAGTATTTGTGCAGGCTGATGAACGAACACGTTGCTTGCTACTTTTTGAGCTAGATAAGGCGGAGGTAGATTATCTAGCATCGTGTTAGAGCAGCCATCCATTTGTTTATTGACTGTCGCAAATGTAAACTTGTCTTCTCTCAGCTTCTCCGGCATGACCTCAAACAGCCTCGGTGTCGCAACGAAACATCCTGTCTCGGCACAGCGTCCAGTTGCCACGGGGCACACTCTGTCGTAATACTTGTTCACTGTTGCTCGATTCCCTCGTTTTTCAGTAAACCTGATTCGTAAGAAGTTTTCGTGTATAATTATTTACCCGTTATAGTTATTGCATCGCTCGACTTGCTAAACAACGTGCGGTTTGTATATGCAGTACACGCCAGTTATGTTTTAAAAGACATCAAAAATACGCATCACATTATTGTTATTGTATATGCAGTACACGCCAGTTATGTTTTAAAAGACATCAAAAATACGCATCACATTATTGTTATTGTATATGCAGTACACGACAGTTATGTTTTAAAAGACATCAAAAATACGCATAACATTATTGTTATCACATCGCGTTACGAACAACGTGACTCGTTTACGGCTGTGTCCGACACTGATGTGTCGGCCTAAACTCTCAATGCAATCCTTTACTAAGATGTCGTCATGGCAATTATTAATTATTTTGGTCATTTTCACAGCTGATATTTTGCGCTGATACTCAATAGAGCATGGGTTTTTCTAGTATGTTGCTATCATCAAAGAAATATTTGTCCATGAAGTTTGGTAATATCATTATCCTCGTGCGGAAAATAAAGAGCATCTCAGTGTAGGAGCATAAGTTGACAAATTATCACGGAGGTGGAGGTGTATAAGTTGCTGATGCACACTGGTCTCCGACGTCTGAAGCGAGGTTTACGTATAAGCTTAAAAATTGTTTGAGCTTGGTCAAAACTAAAATTATACGGTTATATGGAAGTACGAGTGCTGGAAGATGTGCTGCTATCTGAGAGCGGATGTATGGAAGATATCGACGGTGGTCTGCCTACAGGGGCGGAGGTTGTAGTCGCCTGAGCCGATGCTGAAGCGATTCCTGTCCAACCGTTGGAAGTAGTCCAAGCCACGCCCGATCTGGATGGTCCACCCATTGTCCAATCTTGAAAATAAAAACAATCATTTTCGACTGTCAGATTTAATACAAATACTACTAGATTTTAATACTTTATTAATAAGCAAATATGTTTATTTAAAATGAAAAAGGAAGAAGTTGATGTCAACACAGCTCATTCTTGTTCCTATCACCTTACTACAGAACTGAACTAGACTCCCTAATTGAACAAGGTGATAAGTTTTTCCTGCATGCTTGTTAACATTTTTTATTGCTCATCAGGTAATTAGAAGCTTCACCTTGCACAACAGTTAACTGAATGCTTCTCACCACACACCAGTTTACTACGGACTTCCTCCTGAACACCAGATCACTGAAATCTTCTCACTACACCTCACAACTAAAGACTTGCTCCAGGACACCAGTAAACAGCGAACTTCTTACTGCTCAACAGTCAACTACAAAGTTTTTCTTCAATACCAGTTAACAGTGACTGTCACCAGCATAGCAGAGTAACGAGAGCTAATGTTGGTCGACACCGAGTTAAGAGAGCCACGGGAAACTACTTAATCCATCTTCAGCAACCTTTACCTTAATTATTATCCACCTTTATCTTCTCTAGGTAACTCATAGATCATCTATCTTATATATGATCTACTTTATATATTGTCTCGTTATACCGTTATACATTATCTGCCTGATATCATATTTACTTTATATCTCTGTCGTGTAGTGACTCAGAGAAGCAGTAGGTGAAGCTGACGTTGTGGAGCGCCAGAGCTTCACTTATCTCCTGCAAGCCTTTCTTCTGCACCTCTGCTTGCCTGCTCACGGCATAATCTTCTTTAAAACAATTATCTTGTAGGTGACATGATCATCATACAGCACTCAACTTGATTGGAAACTTGAAATAAACATAGCCTATTTCTTGAATGAAAATATTTTGTTGCTGTAACTAAGCATTAGCTAATTCAAAACTCTTCATTGAAGATACACATGCAGAGAATATCACAATAAAAATTGCTAGCATGGCGTAATTCTCAAGCCAAATAAAACAAGAGAGTTCTTGTGTAGTAGCATTCATTCAACTACAACAAAACAAAATAAAACTTTAAATGAATGAAAGAAAAATATTTAGCTTTTTAGGGCCATCAAACCCTGCTGTCATCTGGCCTCCAATTCTCATTCTAAGGTGGACGGACCACCATTGCCTTAGATTCACTGGTGCACTGGCCAGCATCAGTTTAGATCTAATAATGAAGTTACAACTACCAGTTTAGATCAAATGATGCAGTGACAACTATCAGTTTAGATCAAATGATGCAGTGACAACCATCAGTTCAGATCAAATGATGCAGTGACAACTATCAGTTTAGATCAAATGATGTAGTGACAACCATCAGTTTAGATCAAATGATGCAGTGACAACTATTAGTTTAGATCCAATAATGCAGTAGCTGCCACAAGTTCTCACCCAGAAGTTGACTGGCCACCACATGAAGTAACAAGGTGAAGGCTGCGAAAGTTTGGAGCTCCTGCTATGAGGGCTTCACTGAACCTCTGCAGGTTATAGAGCTGGGGATAAAGAAAATTTAGAAGAATCATAAGTTATCAGGATATACTTGAGGTTTAACAACAACAGAATTGCTGAAACATGAGAGGTGCAACTATTGAATATTTGAAACATGGTAGGTTTAATAACAATTGAATGTTTGAAACCTCACAAATTTATTGCCTATCAAGCAATGTTTTCAGTAGTAGAGGCACCAAACAGGAATGACCTTCACATGAAGAAATTGTAACAAATGAATAACTTTAAAATTTTGCAAAAATTTGCTCACCTGGCTGGTAGTACGTATGTATGGATCTTCAACAGTTACTGAAGTCAAGTTGGAGTCCAAATAAGGGAGCAGGAGAGTGCCATAGCTGTAGCCCTTGTCACCTTCTCCAATCTCAATCTAAGGGAGAAATGGATAAGGCAAATTAGGTCAGGCAAGAGAGGCAGGTTAACTGGTAAATTTATTCAGTATTTAGAACCTGACTGAGCCTGATGCAAAAAAAATTTTTATGTAAAATTTTAGATATCCTCACTTGGATAAGAATAATCTACTATGACTTTTGTGATTATAAGGTTGTAATGTACCACTGACATGACTTCTAAACATCTGCAGTTTTAAATCTAATTAAGAGAAATTGGCCCCTAGGATGACTAATACTATTAACATAAGTAAATAAGTAGCCATCCATAGGGTGAAGTGAATAATTTTCCCTTCATTTAGTCTTAAACTTACAAGTTGCTTCAACAATTAGGAAATCAGTGGAAAGATTTAGGGTAATTTTAGAAGAACCAGGCAGGCTCATAATATAAAAAAATGCATGTTGTAATCTAACCAAAATAGGCATATTCTGGGTTAAATCCAAGTAAGTAATCTCACCCGAGTATGTTTTTGAAGCTTTTTTGCATCTGCATTCAATTGCTTCAGATTTTCAGCTCTTGCAAGATATTCTTCAATTTTTTTCTTATAGTGATCTCTCTTTTTTGCATCATGGACACCTGCATAAACACCCAAGTAAGAAATATATATTCTGAGTATCTTTTTTAATGTTTCAGTTACATCCTTCAAATTTTACAAATGACAATCCTATAGACCAAACTTGCAAATGTAAAAAATTTCATCATTTCCCTTACAAGTGGAAGGGATGAAAACTTTCTTTTAGCAAAAAAAGAAAATTCTCATGATTAAAACAATGTCTCTACTAGCAATGGTCAACAAGATTTAAAGATTTATATACATGACGGACATTGAGGGGTGTACTACTGTAGGGGCATATGGCACAATGCCATGACATGAATACATTGACAAGTAAATTTAATCAAAATCAACAGGTTACAATTTTATGGAAAAAATGCCTTGCTTCCCAGCTTAGTTATTTTCCAATACTCCAAGCATCAACTTCTAATTTAGGGTGCCCATAAACATGGTAAAATTGTTATATTTCTTGGCATTTATGGTAGGTACTTATTCTTGATGCAAATGTTTTTTCATGAGATTCAAAAACTTGAATAATACGCATTAAAAAATTACTTTTTAAAGACAACACTTCTAAAGAGACCAGTGTCTGCAATATTACACATGTACAATGAATATTTTTGAATTCCTTACTTTTATTTTTATTTAAAAATATTAAAATTTATTTTTACCTAATGCAAAACCTACCTTACCTAGTGCAAAATTCCAGATAGATTTGACAGGTAGAAGTGTGTTAAATATCGATTATAAGATTTGTAGCAGACAAACAAACAAACTCCCAATTCAAAATAAAATGAGTTTGTTGTGTCCATTAGTATGTATAGGTAAAACATCTTGTAATATTTTTGACATCTGTGATGAGAAGTTGCTATCTGTGATAGCAACAAACTATTTTTCAAGAGACTGAATGAATATTGCAGAGAAAATTAATGTTTTCTCTACCATCATATTGCCAGTTGGGTGGAAGTAAAAACAAATTTCCATGTTTAGTTATCTGACTTTGATTTTTCCTTTACTGCATTGGACTGACCTCCAAAGTTATGGCAAGTTATTTTTATAGGACCACCCAATCAAACAATTTTCAGTTTTACCAATGACACTAAAAACATTACAAATAAAATTTTCAGTAGAATATTTACTTTATCACTCAATTTTTAACAGTCAACCCAGACAATTGATTTGATGCTTCCAAACAAATGAAAAATAAATAAATAAAAGTAACAAAATGGCCTTCAAAGTTTTTCAATAATATTAATAAAGAGACATTTAAAACATAAGCATTATCAAGAACTTCTGATGATAGCAAATTTGATGCATTGCACAATATAATGATATATTAGCTTAATTTCTGCCAAGTGGTCATAATTATTGTCTTCAGAAGATATTGATGACATTGATGATGCAATTACCTTCAAGAAACATTTTTGTAACTATTTTTGGCAATAAATCTTGAACATCACAATGACCAAACTCTGCAAATTAGGTCCAGTGAATGATAGGAGGTACACTGAAAATTGGTAATTTTAATTAAAAAAAAATAGAAAGAGACTAGTCAAATTTGGACCACTATCAATCTTTAATATCAGGCAAAATGTAACTAAAATTGCAGGTGCAAATGATCAGATGAATAAATGATTTAGGAGAATAGCAAATAAACATGAGTAGCATCTTATATTTTTTTACAAGTAAAATTAAAGAACACAAATAGATACAAGTGAGTTGTGGACAAGCATTCACGAGTTGATTCTGCTTTATTTTTCATTTGCTACCCTAGTCAGAGTATAAGAATTCTCACCTTTGGCAGCTTGTAGAAGCAACCTTATACCTTGTTCATAACATGTTACAGCTTCACTATACTTTTTTTCTTGGTCTAATTGAACTGCACGGCACAGCACCTGAGCAGCTGATGGCTCAATGTCAGGCACTGGCACTGTGTTGCTTGATTTTGACATAATTATGCCTTAGTCTAGACACAAGACTTTTTCAAAACCTTTATGATGGCTTTATCACTGACAATACCTATCCTAACACAACTTTACCACTGGGAAATTTTTGCCAACAAGAAAAAAGCCATAAACCAAAGTTTGTGAAATTGTGACCATTGGAATGAACCATCCACCATTATGCCAACACTACACCAACTGTCTAGCAGTCACGGACTGAGTAGGTAGTCTGTGACCGACATATGACCAGCAAGCTCTCCAGTCTCCGCCTTCAAGCAGCCAATGAATGGCTCCTCCTCAATGATTAGTGATGAAGATGGCATTGGCTGTAGAGTGTAGACAAGTTGAGTCTTTGTGCTTGAGGCACTAGGAGGCTCAACAGTTCCGAAGTCAGAACTAGTGTGGATTATTATAAATTTATGCTTAGTTTGACTTGCATGTTTAGGAATTATAGAATAGAATAAAAGTGTCAGCATTGAAGAAATAGGCCCATGGCCTGTTGCTGATTCTTGAACTTTTCATGACTTGATTCACAAGGGATCCGGCCTTTGGAACCCAATCTTTCCATAACACGATTGATTGAGATAGCTGCTGGACTTATTGCCTGGTCCGTAATTTGCTAGGCATTTTAAGACTGAACATATGCTCCTGCATAGCTTCATCTAATCTGTTTTTGAAGGTGTTCATACTCGGAGCATCAATGATGCAATTATAATTATGCTGAGCATTGATTAATTTACTGACAATGCCATAAGCATTGCCATAGCACTTCAGTCACTATAAGAGTTGTCACTCTTTGCAACTATTAAACCCTACTTACCCTAAGACTGCGGCCAGACTAAAAGCGTTCTCAACTGGCCGGCCCCTGAGACTGCACTACCAACCAGCGAATGACCTGACCACTTCACTAATGCAGCTTCCTCAGCCAAGAGCAAACTCCACTCTGTGCATGGGCAGCATGGCCATCAGCAATCTTTGCTCTTATGAACACTTCCACCAAGTACCTATGCCTGTGGGCTGTGGTGGACCCAGTTCCTCCATGGGAAATGATTGATAACAACATTAAAGCCAGTATGGATTCAGCCTTGGAAGTGGATGCTATACTACAATTCAAACCAAAAGGCAAGGGCAATATGTCTCCAAGAACTATAGCTTTAGAAGAGTTTGAGCAGCATCATTTCAATGCTACCATAGGAGAGAATCATCCCGATTTTAATACTGTTTACTGCGATGGCTCCCATTTGCCAGGTCTGGAATCCAGCGCTTGCAGTATTTACATCCCATCACAAAATAAAGCAGTCACTTGGTGTCTGCACCCGGAAAGCTTCACACTGGCAACAGAGCTATATGCCATTTACCACTCACTGGTCTTAGTTGGTTTTAGCACTTTTCTCACTGGTCTTAGCATTAGCACTTTTCACACCTAAATTGAGTGATATGCTCAGAGTTTAGTTTAGTTTAGTGGCCAAATGTTTACTAGCGCTTCAGCTATTTAGCTATCTCGCACCAAAAGTCAAGATGAACATCACCATAGAGGTGGAAGGTCTCAATTATTCATCACCCACAAGGGGCGGAAGGTCTCAGATGTCCAGCCCGCTGAAGCTGGCTCAAAAGAAGCAGCGTTAGCATCTCAAAGAGACGAAGTGACAAGGAGGGACATGTGAAAAGCAACAGAAACAAAGACACTCGAACAAGAGGTCGCTTACACGGGACGTCGGCCGCCCGCACGAGAGAGACAGAGAAGGGAAATGTAAGGAATCCTGCCTACATAATAATTTAACCCCACAACTGAGACCTGCAGTCAGACACCGTGAGCTCAATGGTGGGGCACTCAGGAACAATCCCCCTAGGAACCCGAAATCCCATAGGACTTCTGACGCGCACAGACACGCGTCAGAAGTCCCCCCTGACGGGTGATATGCTCAGAGTCTCAGACTCACACTCAGCATTGCTCCTAATATAATCTGCAAGGGGCTTCTACAACAAGTGCTCTTTGATGATCCTTTGTATGAAAGAGACACTAAGAAAACTAAACCTTCATAGACAAGTAGTTCTCCAGTGGGTGAAAGACTGAAAGCGCATGCTGGGATAAGAGGAAACAAGTAGGCGGTGCAGCCAAGTTGGGACACGATCTAACCCACAGCTCACTACATCCAGTTGAATACTCTGATCATGCACAGTTGCACACCATCAACATTGATTCCAGGACTTGTTGCCGGATAGCAAGCTGATTGGCAACAGAGTGTGGCCAATCAACTCTGGGGTACTGACTAAAACCCGGACCCGGACCGGTCCGCCGGACCCGGACCGAGTGACTAAAACCCGGACCCGGACCGGTCCGGCGGACCAGGTTCAAAAAAATAAAAGGCTGCAAATCATCTGAAACGTCGAGAAAACTTTTAATTTCACATATGAAATTTTTATATTTACTAATAAAAATTTTATATGTGAAATTAAAAGTTTTCTCGACGTTTCAGATGATTTGCAGCCTTTTATTTTTTTGAACCTGGTCCGCCGGACCGGTCCGGGTCCGGGTTTTAGTCACTCGGTCCGGGTCCGGCGGACCGGTCCGGGTCCGGGTTTTAGTCAGTACCGCAAAGTCACTCGGTCCGGGTCCGGCGGACCGGTCCGGGTCCGGGTTTTAGTCAGTACCCAACTCTGGAAAAGGTAAACACTCGACACCTTACCGCAGTGCAAGATGACTTGCTTCCTGTTCCATGGCTAATTGGCTGACATGTAGCATGTAGGTGTCGCCATGTGGGTACATTTCTACTCTGATTATCCATGTCTGTTTCACCATTATTGCTTGCATAGTGGCAAAGCAGAGAGTTTTTTAGACTCTCCCTCAAGTTCATTTTTGAGTCCTATAAGTAGACCAGTAAAGTATCATGCATAGTGGCAAAGCAGAGAGTTTTTTAGACTCTCCCTCAAGTTCATTTTTGAGTCCTATAAGTAGACCAGTAAAGTATCCTGGATACCAGCATTATCATACTTAAGAAATTGGTTTAAATGAGAGTTTTTTAGACTCTCCCTCAAGTTCATTTTTGAGTCCTATAAGTAGACCAGTAAAGTATCCTGGATACCAGCATTATTATCAATAAGAAATTGGTATAAATCTGAAGTAAATGAGGAACTTAAAAATGAACTGATTATAAAAAACCTGTGCTTTGTCACTATGATTGCTTGGCATTATCCATTATGTGCTGCTTGTAGTGTAGAAGAATCTATCAAACAGAAACACTATCTGCTTAAGTGCAGCCAATACACCATTGCTATGCTAAATGCATGCCAACATGCCAAGAACTGAGACAGAGTGACAGACCCTGTTTAGTTGAAGAACAGATGTAGAAATTGTAGATCAACAAAATGTGAGAAGAAACATTTCAATGGTGAATGGTGGACATTGATATTGTACAAGAACCAGAAGAAATAAAGTGAAGTGACAAGTGAGGAAAAACAATCTAGAAAGTAGAAACTTCATCAACCTTTGAGTCTTTGCCATGTCCAGGTCACCAGGTGCAATGGCTGGCCTGAAGACTGAAGTGAGGTCATCAGTCATCTCTGCATCTATAATTTTAAGGCTATAACCAGCCACCACTACCTAAAAGTAAAGGCGTTTGCGCTGACGCAGGCCGAATCTTTCAAGCATAGTGACAATTGACAAACCAGAGATTTTTTAGAATCAGTTCATTTTTAATTTCCTCAATTACTCAAGATTTTAACCAATTTCTTAAGTATGATAATACTGGTAAGTGGTAATGTGGTATCCATATTCTACTGGTCTACTTATAGGACTCAAAAATGAACTTGAGACAGTCTAAATTTACGCTAAAAAACTTTCTGCTTTGCCACTATGCCCTGTTTTAACTTTTCAAGCAGAGCGGCGAGTACAGTGGCCACGCTAGACGGTGGACCGCGTAGATTTAGTGACGGCAAGAGACCAACAGCCATTCTCCTTGATAGAAGTTTTATGGAGAAATAAAAGGGTATTATTGCAGATTAACTACATCCAAAAAAAAGGGTGTTTTTTTTTTTAATTATATGTTTTTTGGGGTGTAGATTACGAATCTGAAATCCATTTTTGGCGGTCGGCATCGGAAAACCGATTTTTTTTCCGACCCAAAAATCGCGCTAAAAATGCCTATTACAGGTCATCTTCCATTTTCATACATGCTTGCATATTGCATTAATCTAACATTTCGGGTTTGATCACTTGTTACGGCTGAGCAGATAGCTTTTGGTCCGAATAAGGGACTGCACTCACTGCAGTACCTTAGTTGAAATTTTATTTCGTTACTTGTTTTTCACATAGGTGACTTGTGAAAACATTCACTCCACGAATGCATTGGAGACTTGGTCAAAGTAGACACGTGGTGCAGTAGGCAGCCAGTTCTGTGAATGGATGATGATTTTCAAGATCAGTGAAATATTGCATGGCACCCCCGAATTCAAGTGGCACTCCAATAAGTGGCACACTAGAATTCAAACCACCAAACAAAAATGGTGGAGCTTGCGTCGCAGCGATCGGTTCGACAACCTCACTCGTCTTGTTCCATATCATCACTGATCAGTAATCAATCAAGGATCATCACTCTCGTGTTCATATTGCACTAAGCACTTTTGTTAAATGTTAACAACTAGATCGGGGTTATTTCATCAAGCGGTAAACTTGCGGTTCCAAAAATGGCGGGAAAGCTCTAATCGCGCCGCTCTGAAGGCAATCTATATAAATAATAATATAATCCTCGCCAACGCTGGAGGAAGTTCAAATTTCAGAGGTGGAACTTAATGCAGTAAATTTGCAGTAAGTCAGAAAATACCAGAAAAATACCAGATTTAGGCATATATACCAGATCTAAAATATTCATACCAGACACCTTCTGAAAATACCAGATTTGTGAAATCTGGTATAGAAATATACCATCTGGCAACGCTGGGCGCATGCCGCATAGTTGAACTATATAAGGTTGACCCACGAGATGTTCCGCCTTTCAGTTCAGCTTTCTTGTTACGTCACGTAGATCTAGAAAAGTAAACAAACCCGTCATTCCCATGACGGATTGGTTGACTGGTTTGATCGCATTTCGGTGATTGGTTGATGCCCGTGACGTCGCTGAGATCAGTGACGTCAAAGGCGGACAACGCACTACATCCGCAAAAATGAGCTTCTGATGGGTCAACCTTATATTAGTTCAACCATGGCTAGGCGGGCACGGAGCAGCTTCCAAATATCTGTCTGGAGTAATATGGGGGTCACATCGGGAGCGCAGCCGTGCACCACAAATTTTGTGCACCAATTAACCCTGAATCGAACGCCTTGGATCTCTCCGGACATACACCAATCAGCCGTGCACCACTCGGCTTTGTCATCTTCCGGCCTTGACCACCAGGCCGCGGATCGAATATGATTTCCGGGCATCGTTAAATTACGTAATTTCACGTTCACCGCGTCTGAGGTTA